TTAGCTGATGGCAACGGCAGGACAGCAGCATGGCAGCTGCTGTTTTTGTGCCCCTCACCAACTTGGTGCCCAGGACTGATGCCACATTCACCATCCCAACTTAACTATGCTATTGTGGGAGGGAAAGGATCCACTAGTGTTTTCTTAAAACATGAAAGTGTCAGCTCTAGTACTGAAATATTTCTATTGGAAAGACAACTGTGGCAGGGAACTGTTTGTGCCTGCCACTTTAAGGGCCAGAAGACAGCAACCAGCAGGTGCCTGATGAGGGCAGCCATTTTAGATTCAGGGCTGCCCATATAAACAGGGCATTTTGTTGCCTGGAGGACAGGCATCAACATTGCCTGGCTGCAGGTATCATCTGGAGGTAAGAGAAGAGCTGTAGGGGATGGTCAGGAGGCTCCTGGGCATGACCTAAAACTGCACTCTGCTGGGGGTGGGGCTCTCAGTGGCATGGGAGCCCTGCGGAAATTCCAGGCCAGTTACTACCCTGGTGAAAGGTGGGGTGGGATGCCTTAAACCCTAGCCCCCACTGGGTGGGTTACCCCCTTAGTAAGGTCTAGAAAGTGGACCCCAGAGAGAGAGAGTTGGGCCATAGACTCTTAACCTGTCTTGACATCCCCTGACTGGTCCAAGCTGAGGCCAGGACTGGAAGGGTCAAAGGGCTGGGGGCCCACCATGAGGAATGCCCAAGAGCCAAGAGCCTGGGGTTCTGACTGGCCTGGAGGTAGGCCAGGGCTAGTGAGCCAAAGGTGGGGGGACTACCCCTGTAAGGGGGAGCAGCTCAGGGAGCTATGCAGCTGGGAATGAAGGCAGAATAGGCTGCCTGAATGGAGGGATCTAAGTGGGGTTCAACTAATAGGATTCAAGGCCCAGAGTGGGGGCTGGTGATGATAACATCTGGATGCCATCTGTGAGGCTTGGGCTGTGGTGTAGGGTAGGAACAGATCTGCAGCTAGCACCGCCCCCAGGCATTGGGGCAAGAAATGGGCAGCCTCCTGCTTAACCAACATCAATTAATAACAAGGTGTGGCAGGTGAGCAAGCAGGCAGTTAGTCCAGAAACAGGTGGGCAGGCCACAGTAAGATCAGCCCAGAGCAGGCGCCTGTTACAATAACACTTAACTGGTTAAAGGCTGTGAGAAGTCAGTCTGTGCCTCCATTTTGTGTTTACACAATCAAAGCCATTTTCTCACCAACTGAGTCTTTGAGATATTTTTGACTCCAAAATGAAAGAACAGACAATGCAATAGCTTCACAGCACTCCTGAGCAACGTGTTGGGGGGGGGGGAAGGTAAATCCCACTCTCCATTAGCAGCAGTCATTCCAATGACTCAAATGCAGTCACTCCAGATTTATCTCAGTATAATGTATGCAGCTGAGGAAAGGGAAGAGGCAAAGAAAAAGAGCTCTGATGTGTTTTTATTACTCCTTTTTTTTTTTTTTTTTTTTTTTT